TCAACACTTTCGTATTTATCTTATCATATGTTATTCTTGGTCCAGGACCTGCTTCCGGTCACTGACATACTTCAGTTCATTGTTTAGTAGTCATATTTTTCTGGGTTAGATTCTCAACCAAAGTCTCAGAGGTAGCCAAGAGAACAGACAGGATTCCGAAGAAGCTAAAGCACAACGGATGACATCCTTACTTTAAATCAACTCCGCAGTTGTGAGGAATTTCTAGTTCCCTTTGTTCATAGCCTTTGTAACCTTCGTGAAAGAGTTCGAACTGCCAAGCACAACGCAGTGTGGACTGCCATGGCAAAATAGAGCATGGACACCCGTTACACTAAATAAGGAGACAAAACTTTCCCAAACTCTTCACTCTCTGTTTGAAGATAGTCTCCTGTAGGATGAAGGATTAACATGAATGGTAAACTTCTCGGCCACTTAAGGTTCGCTGTTGACGTGGTGCTGTTTGCGGAAAACGCAAGTCGATTACAAAACATGCTATAAGAGTTGGAGAGAAACAGTGCAGAAGTCGGACAGCGAATCATGCGGTCAAAAATGAAGATATTACGATTTGATGCTTTGCCGAAGGCGCACGTAATATTTAGCGGTGAAAAGAAGAAAGAAGTCGATATATACATTTTTCCGGATCATCCCGAACCGGGAGATGAACATGTGGCATGATCAGGTTGGGTTCGAGGTTCTACGAGAAAGTAGGCCGGTTGTTGCACTTTTCGTTTTATCAACGATGTACTCCTAGGCAATATCAGAAAGGAAACCCGCGCCAACCTCTTTAATTCTACCGTTGTATTGCTATAGCACGTGGTCACTCACTGAAGCTGAAAAGCGTCAGGTATTTGTCGCAGAGAGCCACTGGAAGAAGAATGCTGTAAAGTTCACGTCGTAACCACATTTTCAACACATTAATCAAATAGTTGACGGTAGTGAAGGACGTTCTGGTGGAAATCAGAATTGAGAAGCTATGTTGGGCTGGGCATCTAATGAGGTCGCCTGCAGGTCTGCCGCAGGTGGAGTAGGTTGCTTGGTCAGTCGTCACGCTCGTGGTATGATTATTTTAGCGGCCGGGGGGGGGGCAGCGCCTGGATGGAGAATGTTCGCATTTTGGCGAGGCTTGTTGCGGCTGGGGCGATTATTCGCTGATTACTCGTTGATTCAAGTGAGGTTTTTGAGTTATCTGCAAATCTTGCATTACTGTTAGATAATGTTCATACTTTCTGTGTATGTTTTCGCTTTATTGGTTTCATACACCATGCTTCCTGCTGTTCCGTTAAGGTTTCTGTCAGTTATGGTTACAGTTAACAGTTTTATGATAATTCGTTACCATGCAGTGTTGCTGTAGATGAAATTGACGTAGACTTTAGCCAACTTGTCAGAGAGCATACTGCGATTAGATGCCTTCAACTGTTGTTGCAACTTTAAAAGATATCATTGCATTAGTTCTGGATCTGTCACCAACGATTGAACTGAAGCATGTCGAAGAATGCGAAGCCATTGTTTGTAAACATCAAAAAGCCCCGCAGTTTATTTACCATGAAACTTTATCTAAAAGGCACCATTTGCATCCGCAGTATAAGTGTAGGTCATAAAACTGAACGGCGCAGGCTGAACTGGAAGCTTAACAGAAACTCAAAAAATGTGCAGGAAATACCTCAGATGCTTACTAAAGTTAAAGTATAGAAAACCTGTGGAAGTGAATAATTAAAATACGTAAAAAAAGATGCCTGATATCTGAAACGGAAGTTTGAGAAGCACATGAAATATCGAAGAGAAAAGAATTGTTCATGCAGTCTCCTACAGCAACTAGTGATAAGAGCCAAACAGTATTTAATGTGGTCTAAAAGGCAGTAAGAGAATCCGTCATTGAGGCGAAATCGAAAGCGGGCGATAGCTCAGATAGCTGTGTGCCAAAAAGCGTTACGTTAGCAAATGTTCCCGAAAGAAGAAGTTGTACAGTAAACAAGATGTGACTTAACGTAACATATTACTGTATTTTAATAAATGAATACGGTTTCAGTCTCAGGCATGCCCTTCCCTGCTCACTCTGAACTCTTTTTGCTATTGATTGAACGATGCTTTTTCAAAGTTAATTCTTCTTATGTTCTTATGCACATTAAAGCAAATAAATATTGTTCCATCAGTTATGGCTAATTTATGCAATAGCCATAAACTATTATAATTGCTTTATAACTTATATAAACTGTGAGTATGACAGTTATATACTCGAGTTTTCGGTAGATTTATTTTATAAGGTATGTACTTGTCCAGAAAGAATGGGTAAGAACTTGTTGATCTTTCTTACACAGTGTTTCTCTTAACCGACGTGTCTCCGTTTTAAACCGATTTTCAGGCTGGAACTCGTGTGCACGTTTGACATCTTTCATACTAGATTGACATAACCAACAACAGCACGCCAGTTGAAATTCGCAATATTCTGAAATCTGTTGCTTCGATAGAAATGCTGTAATACTGTGCTTTTAATCATTATGAGTAAATTGAGAAATTAAGTAAATCACTGGAAACAGAGAATCACGAGCTACAAGACTGAATTCTGGTCGAAAACTAGAATGCACACTCGCGCAAGCTCGAAATAGACAAGATTGACTAGGAAGTTAAAACTTTACATACGAAACAGAGCTATATGTTGTTTTAAGACGTTATTGCAATAACGATGACTCTTGAGCGTGGTCATTGATAGTCACACGCACAGGGATGCAAATTATTTTGCCCTGATCAACATTGGTACGGCAAATAAGGACGTTATTCTTATAGCCTAAGCATCTTCACATGAACTATGGCGCATCCACATACAACAGACTTATTATTCTTAAGTAAATGATTGGGTTCGCTCTGTCTTTCAAACTGAATCTTGAGAAACTGTGTCAGTGTATGATTTGTGATATAATTCTTCAGAAATGTGCACTAACCCTTTAAATATGCATTCGTGAGTGCGTATGGGTATCAACGTGTTTTAGATTCTCCTTAGATTGGGAGAATTAGTGCGACAGTAATTTTTAAAACTTACTGTGCTTCAGAGCGAGACGCTGCACGTACGGACCGGAACCACAGTTTCTTTGAAGGCGATAACAACGCGAACATATCGATGCTTTACGAAATACTGATGACCTACTTGATGTACAACTTTGATTTGGGTAACTTCTATTGATTCCATTTGTAGTTTTTTTTACTTGTTGACGATTGTACTGTGTTCTGTGAAATTCTTCACTTTTTCGTTTCGGTTTGTACACTATATCTCGCTTAGGATATGTCCAGGGCATGTCTGACTTCCTTTCGCCGATAATGGTTGTTATGCAAGACGAAGTGGAGAGTTTTTGGTCGTTCGTCCGATTCTTACAGAAAACGGTGAGGGCTTATAACAGCATTTTTGACAAACATTTTTCATAACGCTAAGCATCTTACTGTAGCACAGGAATTTCGAAATGGACCAGAGCGCAATCAAGCTTCAGCTTCACAATCTGAAGGTGTTGCTATGCTGCGTTGACCATGAATTGGGCTACTACTTAGGTACCGTACTGCGCTTTAGCACTTACGTGTTTGTTTATAATTTTGCTGTTTTTCCTTGTCCTTGTTCAGAAGCCAAAGAAGCAGACAACATGTTCTTCACGTTCCGTTGGCTGCTTGTACTTTTCAAGCGGGAGTTCAGTTTCGACGATATCATGGCCCTGTGGGAGGTACGGTCGGTTTTCTTCTTTGTCTGGAGTTAGACATTGAGGCACTGCAGAAATTCATATTTTGCTACGGTAGTCTTCCGTAAGCATCGACTACCTGAATCTTACATGAAAAGCTACTGTTTATTATACACCGTCTGAATAATGAACATCCTATCATAATCTGAATGATGGTGCTGCAATAATGTATAAATCATTAGAAACTCCCCTTGTGGCTTTCCAGCTTTAACTTTGTTATTTGATGATGCGTTGCAACACATTATACAAAATGAAAGATGATTCTACATGCATACTTGATGTAGCGGCTTTGCTCATTTGCTTCCGAATGTTTAAGAGGCCATGAAACCGGTTGCACTTTTGCGATTTGTTAATATTTAGTGTGCACCGTTAACCTGAATTGTCTCTGTGAAGCAAATGGTAGTGCAACGATCATCTTGGAAGGGTCTAGAACTCAATACATTGATTACCATATTATTAGCGTTTTAACTCACTTCTGGTCTTACTAATAGAATAAGTTATCGAGTAGACCACGCCGAGCCAATAAAATGATGTGCTATGCCCATACGTTCGTTTATGAATTGCAGATTTTAAAAGGCAGACCTGCTCCTGCTAGGACATTTCGTTCTAGGCGTCTCAGATCAAGACAGTGATGCCGTAATCCGTTGGATTCTTAAGTATGAAAATATATGCGATAATTAGTTTCGTGCTGCCGAAACAAAGATTTTAAATTTAAGTTAGTGCAGGAATCTACTTATTGTCCCCAAATCGGTTCTGAAAATTGTCGTTAAGAAAGAAAAATATGGTCTGATAATTTGTTCCATCTTATGCATCATTCTGACACCCAACCGTTCAGGAAGATGTTAGGCAGGTTTGGATAGAGTTGTCAGGTCGCATTTTATTGTGCTGTCCATCATGCATGCTTACAACAAATCTTCTGCTGGCCCATGGGTTATCTCCAATGTACAGGAAGCATAGCACGTTGTGAAAAATGCTATTTATAACGCCAATATATTTATTCTCCCTTCGTCCAGCGGACCTGCGCAAATTTCGATCGGTTGTAAAAGTTGTTGTCAGAGCGTGTCATCGGTCATATGTGGGTGTGATAAAAATTCTGGTAGATCAGATTGTGAGTTTTGTTATAAAGTTTGGTAAATCTATCGTGCAGATCTTCTTCATCCCTTGCATTAGGCTGTTTCAAAATACGTTTCGAGATTCCTATATGCCTGTGTCTATTTCAAGACTGAAACACAGAAAATCTGTGATCTTGCAAATGCCTCAGACTCTGCAGAGCGAGAAATGGAAAAGGTTGAATCTTCTCGTAGTGATCGTCTCATATTGCCTTTTGTAGTTACATTATATTTGAATATAGCAATTTGTTTTAATATTCATTTGCATTAACTCTACTTACCGATGCGTTTTCTCTTCACCATTTTTTACTCGATCTCCTTTATGTGTTGTTATATCAGTAGATTAGTGATTGCTGAAATGTTAGTTGTGCATAGTTTTCCGTACTATCTTCACTAATTTACGTATAGCTCTTTTGTGTGATTGATGTTTTTTGAAGTTGATCTCGTTCATGAGCAAGAATAAATTAACGGCATATGGCATTAAGCAGTCTTACAGACAGAATAATGACCTTTGTGACCCCAACTCTGTTTTTTCGCTGAAAATTTTCGTGAAAGATTAACAGGATTCAATCATCAAACTCTAATTCTGCCGGCCTTCCTCGAAGTGCGATCTTCAACGAGATGACTTGACTCATGCGTTTCTGCCCTTATCTTAGACTCACCTATGGAACGGAGATCGTCTGACGTCTTTTTGCGGCTCCTTGTGATGGCGTTATGCTGGAAGATTTTTCTCAATGAATCATTCATAGCATATTATCTTATGCAACCCATGTTGCTATCGGCACATTAAAAATTAACTGATACGTAGAAGCTTGGAAGTTCGTAGACGTTTCTAAATTATATGTATATCTTATTCAGGTTACAGAGAAATTTTACATATGATAATAGCCAGGAATTGGACGCTGTGGAGGATTTACTGAACATCAAGAGCGATAGTTTTTATGAATCCAACTCGCCACTCTGTGTATTCCATCTTTGGTTTCAGGTTTGCCATCGCTTTTGAACAAGTGGTATTCCGGGAAGCTAACAATGAAGTCTGCGACGTCTTTATGCAACGATGACTCTCTAATACGAATAACTAATGGACTGCTGTTTCCATGACCACCTTAGGCGTACTGCTGATCGGAAATTCGCTGGCAAAAGAGACTGATATGTCGATGTCGTGCACTGGTTGATTTGGCAACCTTCTGCCGACCAACGATTTTCCCCCATTGTAATGCCAGTTTAATTTATGTCGGTGTAATACGCCTAGCTTCTCGTGCCTTTTCTTGAGAAGAACCAAGAATCATAAGTGTTTCGCACCAGAGAGTCGTCGCATATCAACGCAGTTATCTCTAGGATCTGTTAACTCGTCTTTAATAAGGAAACATTAACAATATGGTAAGCGATTTCTGGTTTTTTAACAGCAATTAAACATCATCTAGTGGAAAAACAGCGACTGTGTCAAACCGAGGCCGCAACCTACCGCACATGCCGACTTTGCACCACTTATACCACCAACTAAATTTGTCGAGGCAACATTAGTGGTGTGTGCTGATCTTAACAATTGGTTCAAGGCAGAGTAGGTCACTGGTTTCCATCCAGTCCACGTATATTAATCAAATCGGTATGTTCAACTAGTGTCTCAGACGATGGTACTGCTGAACCATATGAATACTCTGCTGTAGGCTAGGCTGTAAGTCAGTTGGAATAGATCATCTAGGCTGTAGCCGCATTTACCAGTTCCGGAATCTTCATTGATCGTCTTGTCGTACGTGAATAAATGTTATTTCTAAAAGTTCAGTTTGTTTTTTTTTCTCTTAAATTCGTTGACTCTTTGTAATTAAGTGTTGCTTTTGTTTAGGTGCTGTGGACCGATTTGCCTTGCGAAAACTTTCACCTCCTCATATGCGTGGCAATCTTGGTTCAGCAAAAGAACATGATAACCGAGAATGAGTTTGGTTTCACGGAAATCCTCAAAGTATATCCTTTGCATTTTTTATTGGATGTACTGTATTTATAAAAGCAAACAAAACAAACAGCTGAAAAACAGTCA